TTAAGTGAATTGATCAAGGTCATTTGGCAAGTGTGTTAAGAGCCTGGACTTGGATCCAGATTTATATAACTCAGGTTGGCTTTTCATTCACTAAATTGTTATTTATTGCCCCCAATGTGATGACATGAATATTTTCATATCTATATACCTATAAATACATGTTCATAAGTCAAAGGTATTTCACCAAATTGGAGGATAACATTATACAAGTACTACTTATTTTACAAAACAGAACTAATACATAGGAAGCCATTTTTAAGGCATCAATTATATTTTCCCATTAACTTTTAATATAAAAATGAAAATAAAGTTTTCAAAGAAAGAAATTTGCTGCTGATATAATAATAATAAAAAGATTCACATTTAAGAATGTAGCAAATCTTTTAAAGCACACATTTAAGAATAAAAACAATAATATTTTGATCAAGTGAAATTAATATTTAAAACAAGTAAAAAAAATTTAAATACTGTACCAGAAAATTGTGTTCCCTTCAGCCTAGATCCAAGTGAGAAGCAGATGCACCCTTGTGGGCTGGCCCTCGTTTGATATACAGATATTTCCTTTAAATGGCATCTTTTAGCTCTCTCATTCTACTTCAGGTACAACGAAACCCCATATTGACATTATCACAGTTCATACTTTCCCACAATTTAAACTTCATATCCTGTACTCATAAAATTTTCCATTTTGCTGTCTAGGAAAGTAGACCTATCAGTTTCTTATACAAGTTGCCAGTGGGCACATACTTTCTTCTTTAGAAATCAACATCTCTGCAACAGCAGTTCCACAGCCACACTATACTCTCTACCCAGAATTAAAAGAAAGTGCTTCATTTCTTTGGAGGCAGCTTTTGGGTTGTTGCCCGTGTATCACTAAGAAGGAATTTTCTTGAGAATTTTTTATGTGCTCTCCAGAATGAGAAAAGCCAATGATTACCACTTTACCCAGCATTTGTAATGCCTTTTATTTTTATTAAAGACAAACAATATCATAGGTAAATTTATTTCCCACAACTTGCTCTGTCTTAATAGTCCCCAGAAAAAAAAAGAGGGGTATTATTTTTAAAACCCTAAGGTTGTGATCAAAAAGCTACATGATGTGACCCTTAACAGGAAATTTTTTGTCTGATGTATTGTTCCTTGTAATTTGGTGAGTTGTCCCTACTGTTCTTAATTATGAAACTAAAGAGTTCCGTTCTGATTAAGGATGTTATGATATTAGGAATTTGTTCATTTGTCTGATATCTTTTAAAGTTCTTCACGCTAATGAGGAGAAAAAAAGACATTCCTTTAATTTTTAGTCTTCTAATAAGCAGGAATTATATGTTCCTAATAATATGATAAAGAGCATTAGTAATATATTGCAAAGACCAGGCCGGTGTGTCCCTGAAAGCTGAGATTTCCCCTATGTTCTAGTTTAAGCAACTTTCCCACATGGATTGTCCTGGTACTACTACTGCTTATGTGTCTGTCCTTTCCCGGCGTGATGTTCTAAGCTCCCCTTGATCCATGTCTTTCTGAGTCCTACACTATTAAGTCTTCATTTAATATGAAGGACAGGCACTGCAGCTCACAATCCAAACTATTTCCTAAGTCAGCCAAGCCACCACTGTTATTGGCTCAGATATAGTTCTCCTACTTCTGCTTCTTCATATGAAAAATCAAGCATATTCTTTAAAAAAACCTAATACTCCCAGCTCTCTACAATAGCAAAATATGCCCATTTCCACCTCGAAGTGCCATGGCAAATTTAGAAATTTATAAAAGGCTGAAAAAATGTTATGAAGCATCAAAATAAAATAACAGCATCCTTCTACACAATGGGGCATCATGTCAATTAAAGAAATTGGTTTCCAAGATATTCTTTAATTTTCAATTTCTGTATATTTTGTTTCATTTAAGTGGGGCACACCTTCAAAGCGTGTCTAGACTTTCATTGCAGACAATGACAAATCCAATTCTTAGTCTGTTTAGTTTCACCTAGTCTTCAGGGAAAATACAAAGTATCATTTATATCTATATAGGCAAAAATGTAACACAGCTTTAAAATTTTTTAGGAACAATATGTTAAAATGTCACAAGAGGGGATGACATTCCTCTAAAATAGAAGGACTATATTTCTTCCTACATAGTATTGTCACACAGAGAGAGAGAGAGTGTGTGTGTGTTTATGTCTGTGTTTCTCTACAACTTTTCTCCTCTGTCCCTTTCCCTACTTTTCTCCCATTAAGTTTGAAATGTAGTAGAAAGCGCCCCGGTGGAATCTGGAAATACAGATTTGAGGCTGGGCTGTGAAATTTACTAAATAACTTACTCGACCTCTGCTGTGCCTTAGTACCCTCATTTGTAAGATTGAGGATATATACTGATGTGCTTAATACCACCTACCCCATAGAGCTAAGTAAGAAAAATGCTCCATAAATCCTAAAGTCCTAAATAAACTGTGGATGATATTATTGTTGTTCTGTGTCCTGTCCCTACTCAAGTGATCACTATAATTATATAGCCTTAGAATATATTTTTTGTTATTTGCTATACTTACTGAAAATAGTGCTATACCACCCTCCCCTTCTAAACTGTAAGCAGATCAGTACATCATTTTATATTTATCTCTCTTGAAAAGGAAAAAAAAACCCCTCAATTATCTTGCTTTCAAATGCTGTTCCCTCAGTGGTTCTATGAACTAAGTTTTTAAAAAGGTCTCTTATCCTTGGCTAATGCTAAAAATGAGCTCTAAAAATTATCCAGCTTTCAGGAAAATAACAGGCAATGTTAAAAAAAAAAGTTAAACAATGATTTCCAGACTCTACACAAGAATATAATTGGCATCACACTGTATAAATATAAAAATAGATAAGTATCTTACAGATAATATAAATAAAAATTTGTCCAAATATAAACTTGAACAAAAATAAAACAGAAATAAATGCATTTGAGAGTTAAACTGTATCATTTATATACTTAAAACAAAGTTTTACCACTTTCTGAGGCTGATCTCCAAGAAGGTCTCATCACCACAATCATACTATATTTTCCATGTTACAATTTCTTTCTTTGGTAGTTACTATGAGCTATCAATTACTTAGACTGAAATTCCCAGAAATCACATATTGTATATCATGTAAGAATAGCATAGCATTTGCTTTTCAGCACAGCAAACTACAATTTATAATTAAAGTTATTCTTTATTTTTTTTTCATGTTTCTACAGAAACATTCAGGAATTATCCTTGAAAAGTGGGGGAGGGGAGATATACACATTATACACACAGAATTTTTTTTAATAAGCTACTATTTAGGCTATGTTGCAAATAACACTAAACACATTATGTCACAAATTAAGTCAATAACTTCAAAATAGTGTTTTATTAAGAAAACAAAAAATTATACACAAGTACAAAAAAGGACACCCTATTTTTCTATTGGCCCATCTGTCTATCTCCCTTTTTAGCCCATAGCATTTCCCTGAAAAACTCTTTTGAAGCTTTATCACATGGACAAAATAATTCTCCAGTTTCCAAGCAGCATACCAGTTTATCAGATCTCATAGGTTTAATACAATTATAAATCTCCTTAATATTTCCCACATTAAAATTTAGAAGTTCGCATTTTTCTTTTTATTTTTTTAATCAATAATGATGAAATTGCAGACACTCAAAGTATTGACGTACTTTTAATCTACATCAGTGTCACAAGAAGCCCTCGCTTTGGAATACAACATCATTTATCTTAACTGGATGTAAGACAAAGTGTCAAGATTCATAACTCAAATCAAATTGCGATATAGACAGCATCAGATGCTATCACTGAGCTAAGCCTGAAGTGACAATTTTGCCTGTTGGTGTTTGGAGATGCAAAACAAATTTTTTCAGATTGCCTTTTAAGCACTTTTCTAGTTAGAAACATTTTATTAATGGTGCCAAATAAAGGTGCACAGAAAACAAAGCATGCTAGTTGTGTCTAATGCTATTATTATTTTATTATCTTTTTTTCCAGATGGCCTCTCTATGGACTCATTACATTCTTTTGCTTTGACCATGTTCTGGTGAGGGTGTCCTTTGCTATAAATATAAAGGTTACAGTATACCTTTGAATCATGTGACTTTGCAATATGTTTTAAAATTATGTCTTACAGTAGTGAGTCAAAGTACTCTGGATGAATATAGCCAAGAAACTACTAAATTCAGCTGCCTGATTCTGGGTCCTTTATATGGATAATAAATAACAAGAGAACATTCTGTTTTTCTCCCTGGTGACTAGAGAGGCCCCGCACAGAGTATACACCAGATTCTCTTTGTGAGTGGTCAGCACTCTAGTGTCTTTGTTTGTGGAGCTGAGCCAGAGCTTTACATTATACTCTTCTCCTTGCCCAGGACCAATAAAGAAAGCGCAACTTGTGTAGGGCTAGGTTGCAACGACAACATGAAGGTGCTAAACATACCATTGAACATCAGTCAGGAGCTTAAAACTTCAGATGACCACTCACTAAACCATAAAATCATCATTCCACAAAGCTTTTATTCACACAAAACTTGCACAGTAGCAAAAAAATTAAAACACAACTAGGCCACATATCAAAGAACAATGTACAATAGGAGACTTGAATTTGTCAATGGTATCAGAAAGAAGGTATTTCCATAAATAACATTTACAATTCTAGTGTTATGTTTTTCAAGGTGTCTGAAGCTTCACAGTGCTAGGATAAATTTCACCAGAACACATGCAGAAAATGTGCAACATGAGAATTCATATTAATGTCACATAAAAGCACACCAGTTATTTGTCATTCCAGCACGTTCATGCCACACTACGTTTCTAAAAACAAAACAAACAAAAAACCCCACATCCGGGTCCCATTCATTCTTCAATTATGCTTTTAGTCCCTCTGCTTTATTATAGTCAAACAGTCACTGTTAGTGCTCTTCACCACGCCTTTCAGGATGATGTCACTCCCTGCCTGCTGGCTGTCAGGACTGGGGGACGCCCCTCTCCCAGACTCACCTTCTTCCGGATGTCTTCATCATTAGCTCCAAGAGAGGCATAAAGCTTGAAAGCAGCCTGGCGAAGTTCATGAGCATGCTTTAAATCATGGTCAAGCTATGAAAAAGAAAACAACATGATCTGGTTTAGATATTTAATGATCTAAACTTTCAGGAAAGCTTATATATTTGACACGACAAAAATAAAAGTCCAAATTTATTAACATTTGAGGATGACTGAATTAATCTGAAACAGGCAAAATGGAAATGCTGGTACCCTTTCAATATCTGAGAAGCTTTTAGGTATATATGATCATTTGTGAGAAATATTAATAAAGAAATAATTTTAATTATCAGTTATTATAGCCACCTGCCTAAACTGTATGTTTAAATATCCACTTTGACAATGTGATTTCTGTTCAAAGAATTTGTTGCTATTTTTCCATATCCACAATGGAATGTCTCACCATTCTAGGAGAAGAAAAAAGGAAAAAAGTAGAAAAAGATATAAAAGAGAAGAAAGCAAAGGAAGGGGATAAAAAGAAAGGTAAATATCATAGGGAACACAAGAATATCATCAGAAATTGTTTCAGGTGCCTCATAGTACCACCTATGACATCAGACCCCAGATCTAGGGGAAGAACAGGTAGCAACAGGGTGATTTGTGATGCTGAGGAAAATTAGAAAAGTTGTTATTCTTGTTACCATTGTCACATGTCACTCTTTGAAGGGCTACCTTGCTTTCTGCATTTTCTATCTTTTCTTTGGGGAGTAATGGCAGAGGGAAATATATGGGAGAGATGAGTGAATCTTTCTTTGTTCTTAATTTATTGATATATAAATGGAAAAAATTCTGAGATGCCATAAACTATACAGTAAAAAAAAGGTAAAAACTATAAAAATTTTTTAAATTATATATCTAAAAATGTTTTAAACTATAATTATAAACTATTTAAAAGTTTGAAATTTTCTGTTAAACATAAAGAGAAAAATAAAACATACCCTTTTAATATCAGTGATTGCACTGACTGAACTGGGATATTTGAAGTAATCAGCAAGCATGGCAATTAGGTGATCTGTTATGCTAGCAATTCTTTGTAGTTCAACATCTGGTTCAATCAGATAGGCAAGTGTTTCAGCTCCTTCAACTCGCTCCTCTAGCAATCTTTCCTTACTGCACATTCGAACCAAACAAGGCAAAGTCTGAAAAATATGAGAATTACTTGGATGTTTTTTAAAGATAATAGATTACTGGCTTTATAGATATCATTCAGATCTCACATTCAGAATACCTAACGGTTAAAATTTTCAAACAATAATTGTCAGAAAATGATTTAGAATTTTTTTTCAAAATGAGAGCAAATAAAATTACGGCAGTGTGGTAGAATGAAGAGAATGATGAAATTAAGTCAGGAAAATCTGAGTTCAACTCCTACTTCTGATCTTTTGTTACCAGTATGACTCTAGGCAATAATAGCTCACATTTACATAGTTTTAAGGTTTGCAGAATGCTTTATATATATTTCTCATTTTGATTCTCACAGTAACCCTATGAAAGAGTTATTATTAACCACATTTTGCTGATGAAAAAAACTGAAGCTAAGTGGCTAAATAACTTGCAAGGTGCACACCTCTGGTGTGTGAGTAGGATTTGAATTTGAATATTCCTGACTCAAAGTCTTGCACTTTTCCCATTGTACCATCTAGCTGCCTTTTCAGAGCTCAGTTTCTTCATCAGAAATTGTTTCAGGTGCCTCATAGTACCACCTATGACAACAGACCCCAGATCCAGGGGAAGAACAGGTAGCAACAGGGTGATTTGTGATGCTGAGGAAAATTAGAAAAGTTGTTATTCTTGTTACCATTGTCACATGTCACTCCTTGAAGGGCTACCTTGCTTTCTGCATTTTCTATCTTTTCTTTGGGGGATGATGGCAGAAGGAGATATATGGGAGAGATGAGTGAAGAGGTTGGACTAGATGGTCTCTAATTAACCTTTATATCTATAACCCTACAATATAAATTAAATCACATAAATAATTTGCAGATTAGATTTGTCAACACTAATTTTAGTTTAAGTAAAATAGAACTTCATTAATTCAGAAAGTTTTATTAGGAATTTATTATTTTGATGATGGCCTTATGTTAACTTCTATACTATTTACAAAATATGTCCACATAAGGCTTTGAGAGCAAAATATAGCCTGGAATATTTAGCCATAGGTATGAAACCTATTTGAAAAAAAATCACACACACACACACACACACACACACACACACACACACAGAGGCACAGCCAAGATGGCAGAATACAGGCTAGGACCCTGCTGAACTCTCCCAATATTCTCCTCCAAAACAACTTTAAAATAACTCCACAAACCAGATTTTAGAATTGCAGAGCCAACAAAAGATTAGAGGGAGACACTAATCCAGCCTACAACATCTTAGGAGCTCCACAGAAGAGGTCTATAACACCTGGGTGGGCACAGGCCTGGAGCATGGCAGGAGCACAAGCAGTGGGTCTTGGAGGCAGCAGTGACAACAGCAGCAGTAGCAGCAGCTTTGGGAGATCTCAGCCCAGAGATGGCTGGGGGGTTGGACAACTGGTCAGAAAGTGATTACAGGTGACCCTCTGCTGGCACTGGGTGCAGCAGAGTGGCACCTCTACTGCCCATATAGAGCTTTGGGTCACAGTTCCAGGGAAGAGAGGAGCACTTGTGGTCGGTCACAAGTAAGGAGGGGCCCTGGTCTCATTTCCAGGGCCAAGAAGAGAGCTAGTACTTGTGCCTACAGAGGAGTAGCAGCCATTTCTAGGCAAAGACCAGAGCAGAGACTAGGAGAACAACCACATCTCTCTCTGGATCATACCATCTTGGAAACACCAAGAACTTCTAGCCTCCCTGCCCCCCAAATTAGCTCTGAAACAGCACAATAAAGAAGCCCGAAGCTTGGGATGATACCTCCCCACCCTGAGGTGAGTGAAGCCCAACTTTAACATAAAGTTAACAGTCAAGAAATAGGCTAGAAAAAGGAGGGAACAATAAAAAAGTTGACCATACAAAGCTACTATGGTGGCCAAGAGGACCAAGACATGAACTTGCAAGAAAACAACAATGTGAAAACAGCTATAAGAAAAGCCTCAAAGAAAAATGCTAATTGGACCCAAGGCAGCCAAGAATGCCTAGAAGAGTTAAAGAGATGAGTGATAGAGGAAAAATTGGGGAAAGAAAATGAAAAGATACAACTAAATTATGACAAGAGAATTAACAGCTTGGTAGAAAAGGCACAAACATTCACTGAAAAAAAGGACACCTTTAAGAAACAGAATTGGCCAAATGGAAAAGGAGGTACAAACAAAGAAAACAATTCTTTAAAAATCAGAATTGGACAAGTGGAAGCTAATGATTTCATGAGAAATCAAGAAACAAAACCAAAAAAACCTCCAAAAAACAAAAATTGAAAGAATGAAAAAATAGAAGAAATGGGAAATACCTAAAAGCCATGATCAAAAAAAAAAAGGGACTAGACATCATCTTTCAAGAAATGATCAAGGAGCAGCTAAGTGGCACAGTGGATAGAGCACCGGCCCTGGATTCAGGAGGACCTGAGTTCAAATTCGGCCTCAGACACATAACACTTACTAGCTGTGTGACCCTGGGCAAGTCACTTAACCCCACTGCCTAGCCAAAAAAAAAAAAAAGAAATGATCAAGGAGAGCTGCCCTGATCCCTTAGAAACAGAGGGTAAAACAGAATTTGGAAGAATCTACAGATCACCTTCTGAAAGAGATCCCAAAATGAAAACTCCTAGGAATATTATAGCCAAATTCCACAGCTCCCAAGTCAAGCAGAAAATATTGCAAATAGCCAGAAACAAACAAACAAACAATTCAAATATCATGGAGCCATAGTCAGAATCACACAAGATTTAGCAGCTTCCATGTTAAAGGAGCAGAATGTCTGGGATATGATATTTTGAAAGGCAAAGGAACTAAGATTACAATCAAGAATAAAGTAGCAAGCAAAATTGAGTATAATCCTTCAGGGGGAAAAAATGGATATTTAATGAAACAGAGGACTTCCTATTATTCTTGATGAAAAGATGAGAACTGAATAGAAAATCTGACATTCAAACATAAGACTCCAGAGAAGCATAAGAAGGTAAACATGAAAGAGTACTCATAAGGAACTCAACAAAGTTAAATTGATTACATTCCTACGTGGAAAGGTTATACATGCAATTCCTGAGAACTTCATGATTATTAGGGCAGTTAGAAGAAGTCCACATAGAGAACATGGATATGAGTCAATTATGTGGGGATGATTCCCCCTCTGCCCCCAGCCAAAAAAAAAAAATGAGGGTTGAGAGAAAGGGGTGCACCAGGAGGAGAGGGGAGGGAGAGGTAAAATGGAGAAATTTTTCTCACATAAAAAAGGCACACAAAGAAGAGCTTTTAAAGTGAAGGGGAAACAAGGGGTGGCCAGCAATGCTAGAAACTCACTCTCATCAGAATTGGTTCAAAGAGGGAAGAATACATATACACACTCAGCTGGGTAAAGAAATCTATCTTACTCAAAATGGAAAAAGAAAGGGAAGAGAATAAGAGATATGGTGGGGAGGAGAAGGGAGGGAGAGATTATAAAAAAGAAGGCAGAGTAAATGAGGCAGTGGTCAGAAGCAAAACAGACTTCTGAGTAGGGACAGGATAAAAAGAGAGAGAGTGATAAATAGAAGAAAATGGGATGGAGGGAAATACAGAGTAATCATAACTATCAAGGTGAATGGGATGAGAGAACAAATAAAATGAAAGCAGACAGCAGAATGGATTAGAAATCAGAATCCAAGAATATGATGTATACAGGAGACCATACTTGAAACAGAAAGACACATAAAGAGTTAAAATAAATGGCTGGAGCAAAATCTATTATGCTTCAGCTGAAGTACAAAAAGGCAGAAGTAGCAATCATCTTGGACAAAACTAAAGCAAAAATAGAACTAATGAAAAGAGATAATCAGGGAAACTACATTTTGCTAAAAGTTATCATAGACAACGAAGTATCAAAAAAATTCTACAGCAAGTTTCTCTGATTAAGGCCTCACTTCTCAAATATATAGGGAACTGAGTCAAATTTATAAAAACAAGAGCCATTCCCCAATTGATAAATGGTCAAGGGATATGAATGGACAGTTTTCAGAAGAAGAAATAATAGTTATTTATAGTCATATAAAAATATTCTAAATTACTACTGACTGGAGAAAGGCAAATCAAACAACTATAAGGCATTACCTCAAATCTAGGAGAAATGACAAATGCTGGAGGAGACAAGGGAAAATAAGTACCTTAATGAACTGTTGGTGGACTACTGAACTGGTCCAAACATTCTGGAGAACAACCTGGAACTATGCCCAAAGTGCATATCTTTTGATCCAATAATACTACTACTAGATCTGTACTCCAAAGAGATCAAAGAAAAAAGAAAAGGACCTATAAATACAAAAATACTTATAGTAGCTCTTTTTGGGGTGGTAAAGACTTGGAAATGGACAAGGGGTTCATCAACTGGGGAATGGCTGAACAAGTTGTGGTATATGATTTGTGATGGAGTACTATATTATGCTGTAAGAAATGATGATGGGGATGGTTTCAGAAAAACATGGCAAGACCTATATGAACTGATGCACAGTGGAGTGAGAAGAATCAGGAGATCACTGTGCACAGTAACAGCAATGTTGCAGTGATCAACTATAAAAGACTTGGCTACTCAAATCAATACAATAATCCAAGACAATTTCAAAGGACTTATGATGAAAAAACTGCTATTCACCTCCATAGAGAGAAATAATGAACTCTGAGTACAAACTGAAATATAATTTTCTGTTTACTTTTTTTGCTTTGTTTTTTGATATGGTTGATATGGAAATATACTTTTCATGATTTCACTTGCATAACTGATATATTGTTTGCCTTCTTATTCATACACTAAAAGAAGGTTAAGAGTCTTTAATATGCTACACATTTCTGTTATGGAAATCATAATTTTTTTTCCCTTAAAGGTCTATTTTATCACTTTTCACATTTATGTTTTAAACAGCAAAAATACAAGGTAGCTTTAAGAACTTTGATTCTGCCCTTCAATATAGGTTTCCCCTTCCTCCATTCCCAAATTATCTGTAATGAAAGTGTTAACTCTATATAATTGTT